CTCGATTGGTTCTGTTGCTCGTCCCTTCTTTCACTCTTGTCGCACTCGCGGAGGCACTAGTTTTCACGTCCGCATAGCTCGACTGCTCGGGCAGAACTGCATCTAGTAAATAGATGCAGCTAGTTTAGTTAACAAGTCTGTACCTCGCGAAAGCTACAATCAGACCCCCCCCCCAGATCCATCTCAGTTGAGGTACGCCCAACCAGCGCGCTTGGTTCCTGACCTTGCTACCTGAAGCAGTTCCGGCCTACAGGGGCCTTCCCTCGTCTAAGGTTGAACGGAGCAGTTGGGACGCTGCTCGCCCACCAACGGCCGTTAGGGAAGCCGAGGCAACCACTTATCGGCCGTCTGACTATCATTTGGCCCTCAACCACTACCCTCACGAGTCCAACCGAAATTGGCCGAGCGGAGGGATCGCCACTCCCTCCGGGCTTATCTCGACCCCCATGGTTCCAACTTTAGTCATTGGTGGGACTACCGGTGTGGATAAACGGCCACGTCACTGTCAGCCGGAGTTTCTACTTACCGTTACTCAACAGTTCCAGATAAAACTCACGTAAGCGAAGGCCCAAGGCACCCGGCCTTCATTCGACAATCCATTCGACCGTTTCTCGATCGTTCATCTGAATCTGTTACATTTAGTTAGCTTCTCGTAATGATACTCTAATATAGACTGACCTGGTTTTCGCCGATAGTTGAGCGCATTTTTTGTCTGCAACATGACGCTGTCTTGTGATAGAAATTTTTCTTGGAGTATCTTTTTCCAATCTTTTTATGAGTGCTCCTCTCGTAGTAATCTGTCCCTCCACGTCCTGGCCCCTAAGCCTCCACAGCACATGATGTTTCATAGCGATTTCGTTCTATAAGTACAACTCTCCGTATTCCTCCATCTTGTCCGCCCATTGTCCGATCGTTAAATCGTATTCGATCGGATTAAAGTACGGCAACATCTGCAATTCATCGCGAAAGAGACGCTCCACTGTTCCATGACCATCGCCTCTTTCACATCAGAATGCGTTAATCGACTCATTACAATTTGATAACTTTTCCCCTTTGCCGATTTTCGAATCACCACTAGCAACATGTACCTTTTTGCGGAAAAAGCTACCCTTCAAATCGTCATTCATGTTAAATCCGTCAAAACTTCGATCACTATCACCTCGAGAGTCGGTTACAGCTCGACTCTCGTGTATTGACGTCGTTCCTTATTAACGGCCACATGTCTGCAAATTGTAAATTCTTAGTCTCGATCATTATTCGATACACACTGTAACCATACTGCGGTTGTATCCCACTTCTAAGAAAACGTAGTGTCTGTTTAACGCTGAATCTATTATTAATGAAAGTATATAATGGAAATAATATAAATTGTAAAAGAGTAACGATTGCTCTTAATACACGTCTTATCCACATGGGCGCAATTTCTCTACTCTCTACGAATATTACATCATCGGCAAGCCTCGCGGGTAGATGTCACTAACTATACCATGCACGTAACTACATAGAACATGATTATAAGAACATTCCAAGAAAATTGCATACTGGAGACATTATTTTTATTTTGTGTTAATTATATGTTGTTAGAGCAACTTAGTGTAAGAAATATACGTACAATAATAAAATATAAAATATAATGAAAATAAGAAAAAACTGAATGTTGAAATAAGAATAATTATATTTTAACATTTATGTTTAAAAATTAAAATTAATTTAAGCTCCAGCGAAACATTAGTAATGGCAATGTGTATACTTATTAACTTAAATTCTTTTATAAATATGAAATTTACTAAAAAAATAAGAATGTAACAAATACTCAATATTATTGTAAATTCACAATAAGGAATATGATTCCTACTTTTTATTTCTTCTTTCCAAGAAAATAAGTTTATATTCGTTTCCATTGGAAGATGAAGGGCAAGTGCTTACATTTTTAATATAAATAGTGCATAATGATGTTTGTGGCAAATCGATATACAGAAGACTGTTTCCCTCTGTATTTTTTTCTTTTTATTCAGCCGGTAATCGCTGATATTACTACATATTACGCAGGCATTAGTTTCTTTGTAATATGCTGCAGGTAATTACGTTCGATCGATAAACATTTCTGAAGATTGTTTTAGTACTTATAAGTTTTGCTTTTACTTCCAACAAAATGTTTCTCAGTATGCAGTGATCGCTTGACTGTGATTTATTGCAACATCTAGGAAGATATTTTCATATATATAGATACATAAAAGGTACCGTCTTTCGAATGCTAAAAGCTTTCAAAGATAGTTATAGTTTTTTGCACACACACACACACACACGCGCGCGCGCGCGCGCATGTACGAAAAGTTATCTGTTATGTAATTTTTCAAATATTATTCAAATTGAATTTATTATTTTAATACATAAGATATTGTGTAAAACGTAGTAATTTAGTGCTACATTCTTGGAACATCTTCAATTCGCTTTTTTCAAATACGAAATTTTATATAAACAAAATTTTATCTTATTTTTTATGGAGAACCACATTCTGCTCTAGCATACACTACCAGTTATAGGAACATATAAGATTTTTCTTTTTTATTTAATTTGTACTTTACAATTTGTCAGCTGGACATTTGGTAAATTTTTCTAACTTTATTGCTAAATAACATGTGGATGGCTACTCCCAACGGGATACCATCTTCGAGTTTGTTTATTTTACTTCTTTAGTGATGTCAGTGGGATGTTTTCTTTTTGTCTTCCTTTTATATTGGTTTTACCTGTTTCAATAGCCAGGTGGTTAGGATGTGTTACTATTCTTTCCTTATATTTTTTTGCGTATCTGTTATTAAATAGGTTTTGGAGTTTGATATTTATTGATTCACACAGATTCAGTTTTTACGTTCTGTATTTCACCACCATGTACAGCCATATGAACACACCGGATACATTCAGATAATTAACACGTTGCCGACGCCAAAGACAAAGGAGCATCGTTAGAAGTCGTACCAACTTAGCATGTAGGAACTAGTGATCATACCAACCTAATATTTCCTCAAGACTCCCCTTTGATCATAGTTTCTACAAGTCCCATAGCTTCGGTAAAATATTGAGTCTTAATCCTATTTAAATCTTTGGTAAGAATATCAGCAACATTTTCAAAACTTGGCACATAAACATAATCTAGTATACCTTTTGACATGCAATTCTTGACGTAGAAATAATGGACTTGAACGTGCTTAAAACTCTCAGCGACTACCTCATCTTTGGAGCATGACATAGCTCCAATATTATCGCAGAACATTTTTCATGGGTGAGGGCAATATGACAATTGACCCAACTCCCTTAACAGTAAGGATATCCACACAGTCTCCTTTGCTGCCTCTTGCATCGCTACAAATTCTGCTTCACACGTCTACTGAAATATAATTTGCTGTTTCTTTGACGACCAAGATATTGTACCACCAGCAGGTATGAAGACATACTCACTCCTAGATTTTCTATCTACTGAACAGCCCGCAAAGTCTGAATCACAATACACCTTCAAAGGTTGCCCTGTCTTTTGGTATACTGGCTTCAAGTCTTTGGTTTTTAACAGGTACCTAAAAATCCGCTTCATAGCTTTCTAATCAGACACAGTCGAATTTGCACATCTTTGGCTTAGTTTACCTGTTGCACATGCGACATCAGGACGGCTTACAATAGCGGCATACATTATATGCCCAACAGCCTGTTCATACAACTTATTATCAAACGGCTCATCGCATTCAATGTCAAAACCAGCATCACACTCTTTAGCTAATGGTGTTGATACTCCAGTCTCATGAGTAATGTCAAACAGATCCAAAATTTGAGTTATCTGCACAGATTGATCAAACACAGCAGTAGTGCTGTTTGGCTTACTCAAATGGACGGACAAGAATTGAGTATGAGTACCTAGCATTCTAACATTTAGTTTTTCCTTAATACTAGACTTCAATACATAAATCGCAGTCTTCGTTCCAAATGCAAGAATCTTCAAACCGCTACATCAGATCTTTGGACGCAGTCACATACACATATAGGTCACTCATACGTGGGTTCAGGTTCATACCCTTCAAAATATTATTAATGTGTCTGAACCACATTCTTCCGGCTTGCTTCAATCCATACAGGCTCTTCTTCAGTTTGCACACATATTGAGTCCTGTTCTTCCTGGAACTTCAAAGAATTCAGGTTGCTCCATCTATATGTCCTCATCCAAAGGACTGTTGACGTATGCGCACTCTACATCAATATGTTCATAACTCCACTCATACTCAGCACACAGTGCAAGCAAAATTCTCAAAGTTCTGCGTTTCACAATAGGACTGAAGGTGTCTGAATAGTCTACACCAGGTCTTTGCCAAAATCCCCGAGCTACAAATCTAGCCATAAGGCTAAGATATAATCTATCAGGATCCCTTTTAACGACAAGGACCCACTTACAGTTAATGACATTTCTATTCAATGGTCTTGCACTATGTCCCACACATCCTTATTCGCTAGATTGTCCACCTCTTTCATTATTGCATCGGTCCACTTTTGAGCATCGGGTCTCCTCAAGGCTTCGTACACATTTAGAGACACACACAAACTTTGAGCTTTGCAAACCGTTGCAACATGAGCACAACTGTTACACCTCTTTGGCTTACTTAGTTTGGCTGACCTCCGAGGCACAATCGGTACGCTTACGACCACCTCCTAATTATTTTTATTAATTAAATTGTTCATGACAAAATCACTTTCCCCTCATCATTTTCACCATCACTTTGAACCTCAATATCAATTTGCTCAATTCCCTTTTCAAGTTCAAAGTCTTCAAGTTCAAAGTCATGTTACTCGTGTCCACACTAACACCCTTGTAGGGGAACACATTTTCTTCAAACCTAACATGACAGGAGATTATTACTTTCTTGGTCTTCGGTAGGTAGATCCTATAACCCTTGACTTGTTAGTCATAAACTACAAAAATCCCCTCATCTGCCCTGCTACCAAATGTCTTTCCGCTTCAGCTTATCAGGTACCAAACTTTGCATCCAAATACCTATGGCGGATCGGTACCAACAGGACGCCGACAGGTCGAGGCATCAACGCGGTCATAACACCTCCCGGGCGATCCGGGTACCAACCGTCAACGCCAGAGGGCTACTACGACGACAACGAGTCTGTCTGTCTCGCTAGCGGTCGAATATACGGTGTCACGATACAAATACCGCACCTAGCGAGACTCCCTCTAGTCTAACGCAGGGACTACCGGGTATAGCCTTACTGACGAGTCCACCGGTAGTACCGGGACGAAACGCGCATTCTCTTTTCACCTGGCAGGGACTCAACACACTCCACAAAGTGGTGACCGATAGACGTGGTCGATAGCGAAAAGAGGTGTGCGACCGTGATATCGCTATTTGCGACTTCGATCATCGCGAATCTAAGACCGTGGCAATCTGGATCTACCGCTACGACGCACATGGAACGGCCCTTTCTTCAGCAAAATTCGACGCCTCACCGCCAAACCACGCAATCCGGTAAGTGGATACGAGACGATGACAAAGCCAGGAGTGATATAGCCATTGCAAAGTTCATGGGCATCACTACCAGCACGTCATACTAAAAAGAGGAACAGAGGCCTACGACTGTACGCGGAACGCTCCGCACCGTACCGACAAGTATTCACCGCCACATCGAAGACAACGCGCAACATCTACACGGGCTTGACAACAATCGGCTGACGCTTTACCACACTAAGAAGAAACGTTATCACTGGTAAGGGGGTACTGTGGCGGCACTCGACAACAAATACCGCCACTCGACACTAACCTCTACCGGACGATGGTAGCGCAGTGGTTAGCGCCTTAGGTTACGAACGTTTGGGACCCGGGTTCGAATCCCGGCGACCGGAGTCCGATTTTTCTTCCACGCATCTAAATTAGAAGAAAAACAGCAGTACCCCAGCAGCGACATCTACAACCAGCAGCTACAATCATCACGGACAACACGCACACCTCATACCCTTAGCCTGTTGATCTCCCCTTAGATGTCGCATCCTTTACCTTTCCATAACTCCAATGGTATTTTATCTCCGATAGCAGCGGATGGGCATAAGTTTCTTATGTGACAAGCAGTATTTACGGCTTTTCCCCACAGATAGTCAGCGAGCCCTGACTGGATGAGCAAACACCTAGACATCTCAATCAGGGTCCTATTGGCTCGTTCTGAAACGCCATTTTACTCGGGGTTCCTAGGGATGGTCTTCCTGTGCAGAATAACTTCCCCCCTCAGGTAGCTCTCAAAATTTGTTCCTGTATATTCACTTTCATTGTCGGTTTGGAAGGCACTTATTTTGAATTGATGTAAAGCCTCCACTTCCATCTGATATTCTTTGAAGCACTTGAATACTTCGTTCTTCCTACTATTGATCCTAACGTGCATGAAACGAGAGAAATCATCAATGAAAGTTACGAAGTTGTTCCTTCACCTAACGATTTGCACTGAGCTCTGCCACTGATATCACTGTGAACGATTTTCAAAGGACGTTGACACATGAGATAAGCTATCCTCGGGAATGGCACCTTTGTCATTTTTCCCTTCACACAGACTCTACACATTTCATAACATTTCTTGGAATCTTCTTTCACGCTCATTATAGGGATTTTTCCCATTGCATTTCCATGCAGATGACCCAACCTCTCATGCCACGATACAGTACTCCTATATGCCTTTGCCTCAATAACTTCAATGTCTTCTTCACTGTGGCCAGGCTCCTCCTGATCGTTTCCCACAGAGACATTTGCAACATGTCTTTCATCGGGGATAGTCTCCAAGTAATACACATCGTCTTCTACTTTTGAGTTGAACACGACGTCGCCATCGTCATGCGTTCCAATAACCTCATCCCTTTTACACGCGGTGGTAACATCCTTCTTTGCTACCTGCTTGATTGCGATTAGTTTTACATCTAACTCAGGTACCCACAGAGCGTTCGACAAAGAGCGGGTTCAACCACAACAGGACTCAGTCATTTTCACAATGGTCGTTCCCTTTCCCTTAACTTCCAGACGTCTCTTACCAATCCTGATATGTCCGGTCGCAGGTGCGAAGTCCAGAAAGCGACACCTGTCCGAAGTCATATGGTTTGAATCGCCTGAGCCAAGATAACTGATCTTCCCTTTTCCCAACAGCTGATGAAAGTTAAGGCCAATGTCGAGATGAGTCCCTTGGACATTGGCTAGTCTTCTGGCCCCTCTCCTTTCTGTTGCCCTCTTGTTTCTTCTTCTCCTTGGAGTTCTTCTCCTCTCTATCTCTTTCTCCCCTTGACACTGGTACAAAATGTGGCCCCACTTTCGACATTTTCAACATTTCTGGTCATGTGGGTCTCTGTTTTTCGGCTTCACGCCATCTTTGTTTCGTTGTGGCTTGGGCTTCCATTGTCTTCTGGTCGTCATTGCGCTGCCTTGCTCGGACGACTCCACAGCCGCATCGATCCTTCTTTCTTCGAGTAGAAGATCGGCCTTCACTGCCCTCGAGGTCAGATCCTTATCAATATTTGTTATTCTGAGGTGCGTCGAATAACTTGGACCTGTCGCGAGTCCGACCAAAATGAAACATGCCACAACGTGATTCTCAAATTTGATACCGGCTTCGGATAACTTGTCACACAGGGCTTGGATCTTCCCACAGTATGCGGAGATATCCATGCTAGGGTTCTTCTCGATAATCCCCAGTTCCCGCATGCTCAAAACAATGTCCATCGATGTTGATCTTCCATGAAGTCCTTCCAGTGCTTTGCAGCACTCCTTCGCCGTTTTCGGAGCGCCGATATCCGTGAGATACTCGGGGCAAACATGCCGGAAAATGTACGCACGTGCTTTGTTATCCATTTTAACATATACGGGTCTTACCCTTTCTGCTGTCGCTTAAGAGACATAAGCGTAAAAATCGTAAATATATGTTTGTTATTATTTAATTTGTACTTTACAATTTGTGCAGCTGGACATTCAGTAAATAAATCACAAATATGTTAGACTTTTTACAATATATAACACCACAGAAGATCACAGATATAGGCTAAAAGATGAGCTCAATAATATGATTTCCAATAATTTTTCCCTATATGTTTGTGGTGAATCGTCCATGATTAAATATTTCAACCATTGCATGTTGTTTTCTGTAAGTCTAAATTTTGGTACTTTGTTGATTCAGAATGCTGCAACTTGAAAAACTACTTCTGTTACATTGGATTGTTAAGATTCTTGTGATCAAAGTGGTGGATTTGTTCCGCGAAATCTTTCATGGTTCACTTTATCAAATGCTTTCTCTATGTCTATGAAGTGGTTGTACACTATTCTTTCTTTTCTATTGCTAATACAATTTCGTTGACGAGCCTGTGCATTTGCTCTACCGTACGGTGTTGTTCCTGAATCCAAATTGGTGATCTGGTTTGTTTAGATGTTTTTTGTTTTCACATGTTTTATGTTTTTGCCATTTTGCTCTTGCTTTCCTTTTTTCTCTGATTTTGTCAAGGATGTCTGTTGGAATCATTTTTGTTTGTCTGTTGGTTGGTTCAGGTATAGTGGTTGTCCATGCTGCTTCTTGGATAGTTTCTGTCAATGTTGTTGCTGCTTGTTCAATGTGTTCGAATGTTTTTAGTGAAATATTACAATTGATTTTGCTCTTAATTAGTTCTTTAAATGTTTGCCATTTGGTGGTTTTATTACAAAGCGACTCTAGATTGCTATAAAGTATTGGTTTGCTTGTGTATTCTATTATTATCGGTGTATGATCGGAGCTAAACTGGGTGTCATTTTTAATTTGTTTGCGTTTAGTCCTTTCATAACTGCAAAATCAAACAAGTCGGGAATTTTGTTTAGATTTGTCGGCCAGTATGTTGGCCTTCGTGTGGATAATATGAGATTACTAGTTGAGATTACTAGTTCTAATGTATTTTTCTCGTGTTCTACCTCGAGGTGTGTTAATTCTTGAGCTCCATAGCGTGTGCTTTGCATTGAAAGTATCTCGCTGCGATTTATTTCTCACCTAAGGATTGAAAATACTGTTCCCATTTTTGTAATGTCATTTTGTGTGGCGGTGGTGCATATACTGTAGACATCTGGAGGTAATCGCTGTTAGTTTTTATTATAACATTGCTTGAACGTGTTCTTGACTAATTTACCTATGTAATGGTGTTTGATATCGTTTCTTATAGTTGAGGTTGACTGATAGAAGAACGAGTGGATGAATTTGTAATAGAAAAATATATTGAAATAAATAAAGGTGTGAGTATAAGTATAAGTATAGTGTATAGTATATGTTGATCCAACGTTGTTCATGTGCTACGATACAACAGAAGCGATAGGGAGTACGTTCGTATATTCATAGCAAAGAACATTACCAAAAAGTTAACCTTATAGCTCTAACTAAAGGCTACAAGAAACAGCAATAGAAATCCATTTCTGGCACCTTTGTTTCTAGACCTTGTAACCCAAAACATAATTTATATTCAAGGGCACAATAATATGGACTTCTTGGAATTATTTGGAATATTTTTTGTTTCACTAAATTCTATACTCTGCGTGACAGCGGGTCCAAGTCACGGATATGCAAAAGTAAAGATGTAGAGTTTTTCTTGAAGTAATAACTTGAACACTTGTTATCACTGCGGCCCCTCCGTGTGCTTTTCCTGAAGTGTGTTTGGTACCATATGGTATTTTTGGTGTAATATTTTGGTATTTTCATGTAGCTTTTTGGCGTGAAATGCGTTTCTGAAATAAGTAATATGTCAATATTATTGTTATACAGAAATGTTTTAGTTTCGAGGGCCCGTTATTGTAGACCATTGGAGTTCTAAGCTGCTATTTCCAGCGTGTCCATTTCTATTTTTTACTTAACCTGTTTATAAGTAGTTGTAGCACGACTGTAATTTGTTGTGTTTATTGTCTGAGTACTGCATTTTGTTCTCCTATCATTTTTGTTAGCATTTCAGTGTTTCTGATGGATTGCTTGAGCAGTTCCTTGAATTCTGTAGCGTTCTTATTGTTGTCGTTTTGGTTTTGGTTGTTTCAGAGTGGTATTTGGTTAGTTACTTGTGCATAACTTCGGCTGCCAAAGGTGTTGATGTTTCTATGGTTAGAGTTCGATACGTTTTGTATATTTGGTGTTGGCTCTGGTTCTGCAATTTCTTGTTGTGAGGGATAGTTGCTGTATGTTCTGCTTCAAAGCGAAGGAAACAGTTTTCGTTGTAGCTGTTTTCTGACTTCGTAGCCTTTATAGTTTTCTGGCTTCTCAATTTTTAACTACACTCGTTCTGTAATCGTTAGTTTCTGTATCGATTATACCCGACACCCAATATTCCTACATTCAGACGTTACAATATTAATTCTTGATTACCGCATTATTAACATAGCCGCTGAAAATCGCATTATCACAAAATGTCTCCTGCACACAGAAATCTACCATTATTTCTGTATTCTGATATATTTCACGAGCTAATCTATAATTTTCTATTTTTCTATAAAAAGCACGGTACTTCCTTATTAAAAGCGAACTTAAATGTAAATACATCGCGGCAGACCACCATGCAATTCACCATCATGCCACAAAGTCAATTTATGAATTATTAAAGCTTTAAGATTTTTGTCCGTGAGAAGGAATCATTAAGGAAGGAACCCATAGTTCCTTTGAAACTTTTGTTCCCCGTGATCAATGGAATAAGTTACGACAAAAAATGTTGCGCGAACTTTTTTTTATAGATCTGTACCGATCCAGAAGTGTAGAATTATACTACAGTGATTTCTACACTTAGTTTTTATACACCCTTTTTACACATGTTTATTCGTGTTCTTAATATTATGTGAAGATTATTTTGGTATATGTATGTGGGAAAATATATTTTACAAAATATTTATTTTTATTTTTACAAAATATTTTGATCGTGCCAATTAGATCGCGGATTTTTGTCATTTAGACTTTTTTTGTTTAAATAAGTTTACAAAAATACGAATTTGCATTACAATCCACGCTCTAATGATAATAAATATTTCTTAGTTTAATACGAGTCTCAAGAGTGTGAAATTATCATTTATTTGATTCATATATTTTTCAAATAGGAAACTTTTTAAATAGAAATAGTGTCACGTACTTTCAAATTGAATAAATTCTTTTAAGCGCTTTTTATATGTTTGTCAATAATTAGTGCCAAACGATTATATGTGGCGCTAGTAGATCTTACGGAGTTATACAAATTTGTAAATAATAAGAAGTAATATTTATATTTACAGGGAATATTATCGTCAATGGCTATAAAGGGTATTATTAGCTATCCAGTTGAAATCACCCTTCGTTTGATTGGAGCATGGCCAAATTCTTCATGTCGAATTTTCAAATATATCATGTGGACAACAGTGATGTCAACGTTTCTAATATTTCAATATTCATATTGTCTTATTCATGTTAAAGCAGCCGATTTAACAGACTTGTTAGACGGGTTAAGCGTTACTTTTTCAAATACTCTTCTTCTGCTGAAGTTTATTATCGTTTGGTTCCACAAACAGTAAGATGGTTTCTGATTATTTTTATTTGATCTATTCCTTTTAAGTTTATATTTGCTTCTATTCATCAAACTTATTTTACTTATTATTAATACTTATTACTAATAAACTTATTAACACTTTAGCTATAATTTTTCAATATCATACATTATTCAAAATTTATTGTACGGTTTTAAATAAATCATCTCACGCAAATAAATCACCTCAATTCATTAATAAATGTTCAAATGATAATGTGAAATATTCTATAATAGGTAAAATGATTTACACGTTAAAATTTGTTTTCATAGCTCAAATGACTAAAGACACCTATTATATTAAAGAATATTTTTCAAATAGCATGTTTAAAACTTATTATCATGAAATAGTAGTATTATTTCAAAATGTATTATTCAGTGAAATGCTTAAAATGCAACCTACAAGATGCAATAGAAAAGTAAACAGTATGAAAAGAATATATATATATGTCGGAGATAAAAGAACACCGGAGCCTTTGGAATTTTGGATAATCCCCAACATTGTAATCTAGAGTCTACCAAAGCTGTAATTAAACAATTATAATTATTGAATTCGATTGTAATTGTTCGGGATCTGTGATAATGATCTTGGGCT